CGGTGAGTGGTATCTTGAGAGGTGCCTGAAGCTAAGCTGGAGGAGGATGGTGCGTCAAGGTTCTGAGCGGAGGCTGTAGAAGATTGGGTGTCCTGTGTTAGCCAGTCAACTATGTCCCCAGAACTTTTCAAGTTCAGGGTACGTGGCCTCTGAAAACTGGGCATTATTCTAGGGCCAAAGGGAATCACAGCACCACGACCACGATGGCCCCTGCGGGGTGGCCTGCCCCTGCCTGTCATTTTTGTTGGGATTAGTGGTACTATGCGTGCAAGCTACTGTGAGACCAGATATGAGTGGCAATGTGCACTGGCACAGTTGTGCAGAGCACAGGCTGTAGGCCCGACACCCGCTTGAAGTTTTTTAATCCAAGCCGCTGACACCAGATCTAAGTGGTGGCACTGGTCACCGTATCCACTGTTAGCGTAACACACCCGCTTTAAGGACACTGCTATTCAATCTATAACAGTGAAAAAAGTGTTTTTTGTTTTTAAATACAAGCTTTGTGTCACCAGATCTAAGTGGTGGCACTGGTCACCGTATCCACCGTTAGCGTAACACACCCGCTTTAAGGACACTGACTGCTATTCAATCTATAACAGTGAAAAAAGTTTTTTGTTTTTAAATCCAAGCTTTGTGTCACCAGATATAAGTGGTGGTATTGGTCACCGTATCCACTGTTAGTGTAACACACCCGCTTTAAGGACACTGACTGCTATTCAATCTATAACAGTGAAAAAGTGTTTTTTGTTTTTAAATACAAGCTTTGTGTCACCAGATCTAAGTGGAGGCACTGGTCACCGTATCCACTGTTAGCGTAACACACCCGCTTTAACGACACTGACTGCTATTCAATCTATCACAGTGAAAAAAGTGTTTTTTGTTTTTAAATACAAGCTTTGTGTCACCAGATCTAAGTGGTGGCACTGGTCACCGTATCCACTGTTAGCGTAACACACCCGCTTTAAGGACACTGACTGCCATTCAATCTATAACAGTGAAAAAAGTTTTTTGTTTTTAAATCCAAGCTATTGTGACACCAGATCTAAGTGGTGGCACTGGTCACCGTATCCACTGTTAGCGTAACACACCTGCTTGAAGATAACCAACTGCTATTCAATCTATAACAGTGAAAAGTTTTTTGTTTTTAAATCCAAGCCATTGTGACACCAGATGTAATTGGTGGCACTGACTGGGGAAATGGGCACAGTATGCACTGTGAGCCTGCACAGAAGCTGGCAGCAGTGGCAGACAACTGACTGCTATTCAATCTATAACAGTGAAAAAAGTTTTTTGTTTTTAAATCCAAGCTATTGTGACACCAGATGTAAGTGGTGGCACTGACTGGGGAAATGGGCACAGTATGCACTGTGAGCCTGACACAGAAGCTGGCAGCAGTGGCAGACAACTGACTGCTATTCAATCTATAACAGTGAAAAAAGTTTTTTGTTTTTAAATCCAAGCTATTGTGACACCAGATGTAAGTGTTGGCACTGACTGGGGAAATGGGCACAGTATGCACTGTGAGCCTGACACAGAAGCTGGCAGCAGTGGCAGACAACTGACTGCTATTCAATTTATAACAGTGAAAAAAGTTTTTTGTTTTTAAATCCAAGCTATTGTGACACCAGATGTAAGTGGTGGCACTGACTGGGGAAATGGGCACAGTATGCACTGTGAGCCTGACACAGAAGCTGGCAGCAGTGGCAGACAACTGACTGCTATTCAATCTATAACAGTGAAAAAAGTTTTTTGTTTTTAAATCCAAGCTATTGTGACACCAGATGTAAGTGGTGGCACTGACTGGGGAAATGGGCACAGTATGCACTGTGAGCCTGACACAGAAGTTGGCAGCAGTGGCAGACAACTAAGTGCAATTACATTACATAGAAAAAAAAAATCACAAAAAAGCATACCCTAACCCTAACCTAGCTATGCTTTTCCCTATCTAATGAACAGCAGCTACACTTTCCCTCCTCTTACTAAGCATGCAGCTTGAGAATGAGTCTAGAATGGATGCCTTCCAGTAGGTGGGAGGGTCTGCTAGGGAGGGTGTGCTGCTAATTGGCTGGAATGTGTCTGCTGACTGTGAGGTACAGGGTCAAAGTTTACTCAATGATGACGAATAGGGGGCGGGTCGAACCGCGCATATGTTCGCCCGCCGTGGCGAACGCGAACATGCTATGTTCGCCGGGAAACGTTCGCCAGCGAACCGTTCGGTACATCACTATCCCTGAGTACATCATCTATGAAATCTTGGAAAACCGCAGGAGCATTACGCAACCCGAATGGCATCACTAGATATTCATAGTGTCCACTTCTGGTATTAAATGAGTCTTCCACTAGTGGTTTTCCTTGATTCTCACTAAATTGTAAGCACTTCTAAGGTCAAGCTTAGTAAATACTTTAGCACCTTGGAGTCTATCAAATAATTCAGCAATAAGAGGAATGGGGTAGGCGTTCTTAATGGTGATTTTGTTCAATGCCCTGTAATCGATACATGGGCGCAACTCACCATCCTTTTTAGATACAAAAAAGAATCCTGCCCCAGCAGGTGAGGATGATTTTCGTATGTGGCCTTTATTCAATGAATCCTTAATATATTCCTCCATTACTCTACTCTCCTGAGGTGACAGAGCATAGACTGCTCCCTTAGGTGGCATAGAGCCGGGTAGTAAATTATTGGAACAGTCATAAGGTCTGTGAGGAGGTAGAGTATTCGACTGAGTTTTGCTGAGTACTTCTTTAATGTCTTGGTACTGTATAGGGATTTCCGGGTTTTGAGGTGTACTAGTGGGTAATCCAATAGTGCCCACTCTTTTGGCACCATACAATATACACCTTTCATAACAATCCTTACCCCATTCTAATATTTCCCCATTAGCCCAGTCAATATAAGGGTTATGCTTGTTAAGCCATGGAAAGCCTAATATAATCGGACAGGAAGGGGATGCAATAACCTGAAATGTATCCTTATGTAAAGCACCAATGGACAAATTAATGGGTAAGGTTTCGTGTGTAATCAATGGTTGTGAGAGTGGTCTCCCATCAATAGCTTCAACAGCTAGGTGTGATAGTTTCTCCTTGATAGGTATAGTATTACCTTTAACAAATTGAACGTCGATGAAGTTTCCAGCGGCACCCGAATCCATCAGGGTTTGCATGAAAAGTTCTTCTTTTCAAAGGCAATAGAAATAACAAGGAGAAACCTATTTTTATCCATTTCAGAGGACATTTCCATTACACCTAAGACCTGTCCCCTTAAGGTGCTTAGGTGCAGTAGTTTTGCGGACGTATGGGACAAGAACTCCTCAAATGTTTTTTTTACCACAGTATATGCATAGAGCCTCTCTTCTCCTATGTTATCTTTCTGCCTCAGACAGTCTAGTGACCCCCAACTGCATAGGTTCGGGTTCGGACTGTATAGAGAGGTCAGGAACAACCAGTCTGGCGAAATTAGGTGCTAGTGGCAAAGCCATACGTCTGGTTTTGAGTTGATTATCAATTAGCATAATAAACGTAATAAACTCATTGAGTTTTTTCTGTAGTTCTTTGGCAGCAATCTCATCCAACATAGTCTCAGATAATCCCTTCTTAAATGCTGAGATTAATCCACTGTTAGTCCAGTCTACCTCGGAAGCCAAGGTGTAAAATTCTATGGCATACTCCGAGATAGACCGGTTCCCTTCTCTAATATGCATTAGGGCAGTGGAGGCGTCATCCTCCCTACCTAATGGTTTAAACATAAGTTTAAATTCCACATGGAATTCCTGGTAATTGTGTGCAATGCTCCTATTACTCTCCCATAATGGATTGGCCCAAGCTAAAGCTTTACCTTTAAGTTGGTTCATCAGGTAACCAATTTTATCTCTGTCAGTGGGAAAAGATGCCGGTGAGGCCTCAAAATTATATTCAATTTGATTAATGAATCCTCGGCATTCTTGAATATTACAATCAAAATGCAGGGGAGGAGATAGGGAGATAGTGGGTGCCTTATGTACAACAGGAGGTACATTAGGCGGATGTGACAGTTGGAGAAGTCGCATATTGCAGATGCGCTGTGCGAGTAAGGAGCGTACTGAAAGCCTGGGCAAACTGATCCAGTGATCATTCTCCACTAGCTTTCTCTCGCAAGCAGCTATGTGCTGACACAATTCTACAGGATCTATGGCCATGTCTTAATGTCAGGATTACAGAATGATCCAGCACGTAGAATTGTGTAACACAGAGGACTGATAGGTAATGTATACCAGACCTTAGAATGGCTGGACTAACGTACCAAAGAATAGACGAGGTCAAGGGAAACAGAAAGAGACACAACGATAAAGAAAAGCCAAGAATCAGGAATGCCAGAAAACAGGGATGTCAAAATCAATGCCAAAGTCAAAATTCCAGAATAACCAGAATCAATAACACGCTCTCTGACAACCACAAGGGAAATCATGACAGGGCACTGAGCAGGATGAGAACTGGGTCTAAATACCCCTCCTCTAGATCTGATAGGCTGTAACCTGCCTTTGACCCCAAAGGCAGTTACCAAATTCCATTTGCATTATTGCTGCTCAGCATTAACCCTTCTGTGGATTTGGTTGCTGCACGGCACAACTTTTCCTGTGTTGAAAGTAAATGCCATTAACCACATTTTTATAGGCGGATGAATACGTGACACAGAAGAAGGCATCGATTACTTTTTACAAGACTTTGAGCGCCAGTGTCTACTCCAAGATGTGGACCCCAGCGATTGGGTCACCATCCTGGCAAGCAAACTAGTGGGGAAGGCAGCGGATATTTACCGGGCTGTACCAGAAGAGCAGATCAGAGACTATACCCTTATTACCCAAATCCTCCTGGCCCGGTATGCAGTCACCCCGAGCAATACCGCCGAAAGTTTAGGGAGACCCGGAAAGGGGAGAAGGACTCCCATGTGGAGTGGGCATGCCGCATCACAAGGGCCACCCAGAACTGGATTAACTCCCATCAAGCCAAGTTCCCGGGGGAGATCACCCAGCTCGTCATGCTAGAGCACTTTTTCAATGGGCTCCTCAACGACAAGGTGACGATGCATTCGTATGTCATACATATCAACTTTTGATGCCACTTTCTGCGCCTACCATGGTGACCACGGTTAACGGGGAATCAGGGTTCGATTCCGGAGGGAGCCTGAGAAACGGCTACCACTTGCAAGGAAGGCAGCAGGCGCGCAAATGACCCACTCCCGACGTGGGAAGGTAGTGACGACAAATAACAATACAGGACTCTTTAGAGGCCCTGTAATTGTAGTGAGTCCACTTGAAATCCTTTAACTCTGATCAGTTGGAGGGAAATCTGGTGCAGAGCGACTGACCCGTGCGCACTGCAGCTGAAACTCCACTATCGCCTGCTGCTGCTCGCACAATCTCTCCAGCATGTGCATCGTGGAGTTCCACCTTGTGGGCACGTCACATATGAGGCGGTGAGTGGGAAGGCCAAAGTTACGCTGCAGCGCAGACAGGCGAGCAGCAGCAGGGTGAGAACGCCGAAAGCGCGCACAGCCGCTACAGTAAATGTCACATCCTGTTCCAAGTTGCGGATCAGTCTGGTGATGGCTTCTGGTATCCAGTACTCTTTTTACTGAAGCTGCATCAGGGTCCTGGTATGTGGCCGTGCAAACGCTGGTGCTCAACACCATGGGGCATGCAGTTACCCTGCACCAGACCCTGCTAATCCATTCCACACTGTGACTCCTAACTTCAACATCAGGCATACTAAGTCCCGGTCCTCCGACCGCTGCCCACACAGCGTCTGGGTCCCGGTCACCAAACTGCGAATGGATCGTTAAATCTGTTATGGTTCCTTTTATTTATTACTTGTATAACTGTGGGAATTCTAAAGATAATACATGCCGACGAGCGCTAGGGGACGGCCGCTCCGCTTTTGCACCCTGCTCCCTCTTATGCTGTGCCTCTGTGCGACCAGCGCCTCTTCCTCCAAACTGCACACGTCACTCACATGACCTTCATTCCATGTGGGGTCTAGGACCTCATCATCCTCCACTTCATCTTCCACCCACTCCTTAACCCTGCCCTCCTTGCCGGTCTGCACACTGCAGAAAGACACAGCAGTTGGCACCTGTGTTTTTCCAGCATGTAAAGTCTGCAAAGGACATATGGAAATTGTTTTAGAATTATATCCAGGCAACAGTTTTCCCTATAAACTGACCTCTCAGTTTGACTTGTAAGGGTATTGCCCCCGAATTACAATATTGTTATATTGGTATTTCACGGTTCTATTTGACTCTCAGATATGAAGTGCACCGCAGGCCGCAAATGTACTATTTAGCAGGCAAAATTTTTTAATGTTTAAAACGGCTGTGTCACAGCACTATTTGATGGTTCTATTTGACTCTCAGATATGAAGAGCCCCAAATGCACTTCTTAGGAGCAAACAAAAAAAAAATGGGAATTTGTCAGAGTGCGCTGTAAACACAGTATTTGACGCTTCTATTTGACTCTCAGATATGAATAGCACTCCCCAAACTTACTATTTAGCAGTTTAGCACCAAAACAATTAGAATGTTTACAACTGCGCTGTAACCGAACTATTTGATGCTTCTATTTGACTCTCAGATATGAAAAGCACGCCCCAAATTTACTATTTAGCAGATTAGCACCGAGAAAAGAAGAATGTTTACAATTGCGCTGTAACCGCACTATTTGACGCTTTTATTTGACTCTCAGATATGAAGTGCACCCCACTAATGTACTAGTTTGCAGAATTCTTTCCTAATCTGTCCCTGAACGTGGCAGCATCCTCTCCCTACACTAATAAGAGCACATGTGCGTGACTCCAGCTTATATATAGAGTCTGGGTCACATGCTGCACTGGCCAATCACAGCCATGCCATTAGTAGGCATGGCTGTGATGGCTTCTAAGGGCAAACGAGTCAAACGCTTGTTGATTGGCTGCCCTGCAGCCTTTCAAAACGCGCATTAAATCGCCAAACACCGAACTCCAACCCGAACATACAGTGATATGTCCGTGTTCGGGTCTGGTGTCCAAAAACCGTAATGTTCAGTACGAAGCCGAACTTAACAGTCTGGGTTCACTCAACTCTATTTAGCACCTTAAAATTTTTAATGTTTAAAACTGCAATGTAAGCACAGTATATGACGGTTCTATTTGACTCTCAGATATGAAGTGCAGGCCCCAAATGTACTATTTAGCACCTAAAAAATTGTGAAACTGCGAATGGATTGTTAAATCTGTTATGGTTCCTTTTATCGCTCCATCTGTTGCTTGGCTAAGTCTAAACATAATACATGCCGACGAGCGCTAGGGGACGGCCTAAAATTGTATCCAGGCAACAGTTTCCCTATAAACTGACCTCTGTTTGATTTGTGAGGGTATTGCCCCCGAATTACAATATTGTTATATTGGTATTTGACGATTCTATTTGACTCTTAGATATGAAGTGCAAGCCCCAAATGTACTATTTAGCACCTAAAAAAATTTGAATGTTTAAAAATGCGCTGTAACCACAGTATTTGACGGTTCTATTTGACTCTCAGATATAAAGTGCACCGCAGGCCGCAAATGTACTATTTAGCACAAAAAAGTGTGATTTTTTTAAACCAACAAAATAACAGTAGTATTTAAGGGTTTTATTGGACTGCAAGAAATGCAGTATGCAAATGTACTATTTAGCACTCAAAAAATTGCAGTATTTAAAAATGCCTAGATGTTGCCCACTGAGCTACCAGAACAGGATTAAAGTAATGGGCCTGGCACACTTGCAGTTGCAAGTGCCCTGCACTCTCTGTGGCACTGGGCTCAGGGCAGGGTACAAAAATGTAGTATAGCACCCACAAAAATAATCGCTGTAGTTTGCAGATTCAACACCAGAATGCTTTCCTAATCTGTCCCTCACAGCTGCAGCATCCTGTCCCTACACTAATAAGAGCTCATGTGACGTGCGGCGCTACGTAACTCCAGCTTATATATAGAGTCTGGGTCACATGCTGCACTGGCCAATCACAGCCATGCCATTAGTAGGCATGGCTGTGATGGCTTCTAAGGGCAAACAAGTCAAACGCTTGTTGATTGGCTGCCCCGCAGCCTTTCAAAATGCGCCATTAAATCGCCGAACACCAAACTCCAATCCAAACATAGAGTGATTACATACCGTTTTTCTTGCCATTAAATGGTCTTTCTAAAGATACCATTATTTTCACATCATATAATTTACTATAAAAAAAAAATTCTGATTATAAAAAAAAAAACACTTTCTACCTTTGACCCCCAAAATCAGTTACGCATCTACAACCGCCAAAAAAACACTTGTGCTAAATAGTTTCTAAATTTTGTCTTGAGTTTAGAAAAACCCAATGTTAACATGTTCTTAGCTGTTTTTTTGAAAGTTATAGGGCTATAAGTACAAGTAGCACTTTGCTATTTCCAAACCATTTTTTTTTTCTCCAAAATGAACACATTGTAACACTGATATCTGTCAGGAATACCTGAATAACCCTTCACATATACATATATATATATATATATATATATATATATATATATATATATATATATATATATATATATATATATATATATATATATATATATATATATATATATATTTATTTTTTTTTATTTTTTTTAAAGAAGACAACCTAAGGTATTAAACTTGGGGTGTTTTGACTCTTTTCATGCAACCATTTTACCAGAAATCTATGCCAAATTTAAAAAACAAAACAAAAACAAATGATAAGTGATTTTTTTGACACACATAACAATTTAAAAATACATGTACTGTGAACTTTAAGGGTTACTGCCAAAGAGCACGCAATATATGTTCAGCAATATCTCTTGAGTACAGTGACACCATCCATGTATAGATGTGTTGGGTTTTCTGGGGGCTAAAAAAATATTATTTGGAGGGTGCGCATTCCAGTTTTCCAACATTCACAGCTGGTCACCCATGTCCTATTTGAGACATTTTTGAAGCCAACCAATGTAATTTACCCCCATTAAAACCATATATTTTTGAAATGTAGACAACTCAGGGTATTCAATATGGGGTATGTCCAGTCTTTTTTACTAGTCACTTAGTCACAAACACTGGCCAAAATTAGCATTTATATTGGTTTGTGTGTTAAAAATGCAAAAATAATGAACACTAACTTTGGCCAATGTTTGTGACTAAGTGGCTACTAAAAAAAGACTGAACATACCTCATTTGCAATACCTTGGGTAGTCTACTTCTGCAAATGTTATGCCATCATGGGGGTAATTCTCATTCCTGAGCTACCATATGGTCTCAAAGGCAACATAACCAATCTGGCAAATTTCAATGGGAAAAAAAGGCCTTATATTTGACCCTGTAACTTTTAAAACCTCTATAAAACCTCTACATGGGGGATACTGTTAAACTCGGGAGACTTTGCAGAACACAAATTAGTGTTTCAAAACAGTAAAACTTATCACAACAATGATATCGTCAGTGAAAATGCCATTTGTGTGTGAAAAATGCAAACAAAAGTAATTTTCACTGACGATATCATCACTGATATATTTTAGAGCCGTCACATGGCCCTTGGGGTCCTTTTTTGTAAAGAGGGGACTGCCTGGGCTGTCAGACAGTCCCCGCAGTGGAGCAGAACACTGATGGCCGGCGGGGGAACGGCAGCGATCGGGCAAGTACATGGAAATGGTGGGAGAGAAGGGGTTAATTTTTCTCAATTTTTTATTATTTATTTAAATCTTCAATGAGTGTCTCAACCATTTGAGGCACTCAGCACAGGCAGAGCATCGGAAGCCTGATGGCTTCCGATGTTCTACCACACTGCCGGGCGCCACGTGGGGAAACCTGGAAGTGATTGCTCCGGGGGAGCGATAACCCGGCAGCTTGGCAGTTGCAGAGGGGGATTCAAAATTGAGGCATCGCTGCAATACTGTTAGAGAAACTGGAAGTGATCATGATCGCTTCCAGCGCTTTTATTACCCGGAGACGTATCTGGTACATCCACGGTCCTTAAGGACCTTTTTTTTGTCGGACGTACCTGATATGTCTGAAGTCACTAAGTACTGAAGTTGCCTCTGTATTCATTTGATCACAAAATGACCATGGAGAAACAGATATACAACTTATTAAAATGGGGAATAAAAAAAAAAAAAAACACAAATATGAAAAAATAAGGAAAAAGGCAAATAAATGTGTACACAATAACTTCTGTGCAGATGACAATTTTAATAAATTAAA